GCAAAGCACAGCACCTGCTGGTTCCTCTGTCACCTGATTGATGAGTTTCAGTGAGGCTGATTCCAGCAGCTCAAGTTACTTTAAATAGTGTTCTACATGAACTAAGGAGGAAGGGAAATGGTAGGAAAATCTTAAACCAATACCTTTGGCTTTCTGGCATTGGGATTCCATCAGAACTAAGAGAAAGTGATGGAAAATTCCTTCCAATTAAAGGCAACTTGTCTGAAATGTCCATTAAAATAATCACTGCAGCCAAAACAAACTCTGTGTACTTCCAACTTGATGGGCGCTAATGTACTTACAGAAAGAATTTCAATAAATCTAAACTGTTATTAGTAACAATATCTAAAGGCATAAAAGTAAAAGTGCTTCCTCATGACTGTTTATCCAGTCTTACTGAGAAAGATGGTATTAAGCATAAGTAAATTTTCAGCAGTTTTCAGAAAACTGACTTTATACTTTTTTCAGAAAAATGACATTTACCCTTTTTCAGCAGAGATACTCTTTGAATATTATCTATCACACTGTGTCTTCCTAATGACAGCACACCTGAAAGAAGAATGTGGTCTTTCCTTGATGGTGTAGATTAATTGCTACAAATATCCACACTTACAGCACAGTTAAGAGCTTGTGGTAATAAGAACTCTAGTTTTTAGAGAAATAAAAAGGACATACATACCCAGTGTGAGTCCAACCCAATGGTGATAGATAAGGCCCCACACCCACACACGCACGCAGGTACTAATCCCTAAAATCTGAAGTGCTACTTTATATGGAGAAGACAAGGATTTTGCAAGTGTGAAAAAGTTCAGGATCCTGAACTTGGAGACAACTCTGAATCATTCATATGGGCCAAGGCACAATCACAAGAAGAAGATAGCTGGATGAGAGACAGAGGAGATGTGATGATAAGTGGGATAGAAGAGATTAGAGATGCTATGTGACTGGCTCTGAACACAAAGGCAGAGATTTATACATCAAAGGATATATGCAGCCTGTTACCTGTCTTCCCCAGGCTGATGGAGAGGCAAGCAGGGCTGATTTCAAGGCCCAGGAGAATCATTTTATAGGCACACGACATCTGGGTCCACAAGAAGTTCTTTTTGTCATGGTTTTGTAAACTACAAGTCTCTTGGGAATAACTGAGCCCATACTATAAAATGAACCCTGCAGTCTGACTCTCAACAGTCAGCTTAAAACTGCTGTGCAGATTTGATAGTGGTACCTTAGTTCACAAAGTTGATTTCACGATTCTGATTTCAAACGAAGCTGGACAAGAACTGAATCAAATTGAATGGTTAGGTTCAGTGTTGACCTTCTGGGGAAATTTGATTTGGTTCTCGTCCAGTCTGGTTTGCAACCAGAATTGCAGAGAGAATTGAGTTCATGAACCGAAGCACCACTGTATTAAATAAGACTTGGTTACCCAAAGCCTTACCAGGGGAGAGGGGTCCAGGGTACAGACTCCTGGCATAGTGCTCTGGTCTTTCTAGTTGTTTCATATGACTGTGTTACCATCTCCTTTGGATCCATTCTTCCTTGTCTGAAAACTGATGTACTAATTACAGAGAATCGCCAAGCTAAGTCGATAGTGGCTTAATGTTTAGCTTGTAAAGTATAGAGACTTTTTAAACTATATTTTTATTTCCATAGCTACTTCTGTTCTGATGTGCATTGTACAAATGACCGTAGATCCTACAGCCATGAAGCAGTGTGCTCTGCAAGTCCTTGCAGTGAAAGGTCTGTTAAGCTTCCCACTGGATGTGTTCCTCAGTACTAGGTGGCAAAGCTCTGGGTGCTGGGCTTCATGGACAGGCAGGCAGGCAAAATGGGCAAAACCTGGCCTCAGGAGGGCAGACCCAGGTTGCAGGGATTCCTGCCTGTGCAGGCAGATTCTTCTTCACCTTCAGTGTAACAGGGATGTGTTCGTTTCTTGTATCTTTTATAACAGATGAGTACAAATTTACTGGCCTAGAACAACACAAGTTTATTATGTTACAGCTCTGGAGGTCAGCAGCCTCAAGTCCACATGTCAGCAGGCCTGCATTCCTTCTGGGGACTCTAGAGGGAAATCTGTTTCTTCACCCTGTGCACCGAACTGGATGAGAACCAAATCAAATTTCCCCAGAAGGTCAACACTGAACCTAACCATTCAATTTGATTCAGTTCTTGTCCAGCTTCGTTTGAAATCAGAATCGTGAAATCAACTTTGTGAACTAAGGTACCACTATCAAATCTGCACAGCAGTTTTAAGATGACTGTTGAGAGTCAGACTGCAGGGTTCATTTTATAGTATGGGCTCAGTTATTCCCAAGAGACTTGTAGTTTACAAAACCATGACAAAAAGAACTTCTTGTGGACCCAGACGTCGTGTGCCTATAAAATGATTCTCCTGGGCCTTGAAATCAGCCCTGCTTGCCTCTCCATCAGCCTGGGGAAGACAAGTAACAGAAAGCTGCCCTGCTGGGTTATCTGCCCCAACCCACCCTGCCCTTAGCATTCTCTGGAGGAAAGAGCGGGGGAATGAGGATGTTGTGCAGAGATGATCTCTCCAAAACAGGCTGGTACTTAGGCACCATTTTCCATATGGTTCCTGATTCTCAAATGTTACATTTTTTAGAAGTAACAGGGTCGTATGTAGGATAAGTGAAGCTACTTTACCCTGGACTAATTTTGCTTTTCAGAGGACACAAGAGGAAGGGGGAGAGATCTCCACACTTGTACCTCCTAGAATATTTTAACAAGCAGCCATGGAATCTCTTATTATGAAGCAAAGAAGGGAGGAAGGAAAAGTTACTTTCTCCACTCAGACCGAATTTCCATACTCAACTCTCCCTCCGTCTAATTATACATCACAAGAGTGCTTGAAACCTAGATAACTCCTCTGTAAATTTCACCAGAAAGCTTCTTAACTCAAGTGTGTGAGGGAAGGTTGGACTGGGGAAAAGGGAAGACCCAAAGGAACCATCTCTGAACTTCAAAGAGCTTTTTATTTCATGATTATAGAATTCTTTTTGGATTATATAATAACAAAGCACGGCAACATTCACCTTCCTTCTGGTAGGAGTGGGCAGAATCATGTACGGACCTCTGGACTGTAACTTATATCTAGGCCCTTTTTACATTCAAAAGGGAGAAATGTGTTGCAGCGTGATTTCTGTGTTAAATGCTTGCAGACTGTTGGTATACATGTAAAGCGTTTGATCAGACTCTTTATAGATCAAGGTCTCTCTTTGTACACATTGACTGGCAAATCTGTCTAAATGAAACCTTTACCCAGAATGGCCTATCGTTTCTACAGTATAGTAATGAGCTCCTCTGGGAAACAGAAATGCAATAAACAGGGATACACCACTTTAAATAAGCAATAAATGTGAAAAATTATATTTGCAAGCAGGTAAAGGAGACAACAATTACTCAATTCCTTTTTACTTCATTAAAAGATGTCCAAGAAGATTCACTTAACAATGAATCCCACGCTTTTAAATATCTAATTCACAAGTACTTGATTTAACACAATTATCTGAGAGATGAAACTGAAGGAAATAACTGGTACTTTTTAGATACTAATATATCCTAACCAGCTTATGTAACACAGCTTTTTCTTATTCAAGCCTCAAAAATTTACTAAGCATCTACTATAAGCCAGGTGCTATTCTAGGTGCCAGGGACATAAATGAAGTATATCAAAATCTCCTGCTTGCAGGGCTTACAATCTAATAAAAGACACAGAAAAATCACAAATGAAATTGTGTAGTCCACTGGAAAAGGACAGGTTTAAAGAGAAGTAGGAAACATGAGAAAAGAAGTAAGTAGCGAGAGAGTTCCAGAAGTAGGGACAAAGAAAAAATGATAAATAAGGAAACTGTTTGGTAAACCTGAGAAAGAAAAGCCAAGTGGAAAAACACAAGAAATAAGGGAGGAATTTAGAAAATGTGGGAAGGGGCAGCACTTTATACACATACTATGCCTGGGAAAGACTCACTGGGAACCTAACTCTCAGTAAGGACCTGAACAAGATGAACAAATATTCATTAGTACAAGGGGACAGAACATTGCAGGCCAGGGGAAAGGCTGGAGAAAATGCTGAGACAGGCACGTGCCTGGCAGGTCCACAGAACAAGGAGACCAGTAACAGAGAGATGAGCACTGGGCAGAGCAGAAGATGAAGGCAGACAAGTGGGGTAGGCTGCAAGGATCACACAGACCATCAGAAGGATTTGTGCTGTGACATAAAATGAGCATGGACCCCTGGGAGGTTTCTGAACCCAGGAAGCAGGAACCTGACCTGATCCAACAGGATCACAGGTTGCTATGCTGAGAACAGAACTCAGAGGGATAAGGGCAGAAGAGGGAACGGCCAGTCAGAGAGCTGCTGCAAGGCCAGAGGCAATCAGCATCTTCACCTACAAATGGGGATGACAATGACGACATCCTCCTAGGATGGTGCCAGCAACTAACCAAGAACTATCCTATCTGCTCAGTTCTGAGACACAATTTTCATAGCTCAATATCTCAGAAACCAGAACGAGTCATGAAAGCCAGTATGACCGCCACTTCCTTCAGCAGTCATGGCAGCTGACCCCGTGTGTGCAGGCAGAAACTTCGTCTCACCGTTCATATCCTTGTTTCAATTAAGTTACATGCACCATTAATATTTGTGTGATGTCTGACTGCCATTTTATTTTATTTTTTTGTGCCAGGAATCGAACTTGGGACCTCGAGTTTGCAAGGCAGGCATCTGTGCCGCTGAGCTATATCCCCAGCCTCTCGACTGCCATCTTTAAAATGTCTTTAAAATGTCTTAAAATTTAAAAATTCTGCTTTACAGGCCAGTGGTGTGGCTCAGCAGTAAAGTATCACTTCCCTAGCATGCAAGAGTCCCCAGGTTCTATCACTAGCACCAAAAAAAAAAAAAAATGTTGTACAAATTAATGGTTAGCAAATCAAGGACAAAGCACAGGGCATGAATATAATGTTAGTGAAAAACAAATTCAACTTGGAGAGAGCATTTTTATCCCATATTTTTCTGCAAAGCAACAACTTATGTAAGAAGGAACTGAATTTGTGGAAGTCACCAACCCAAAAGGATTACCTGCTGCACCCCAAGTGATCTGGCTGAGAAACTCCAAAGCCCCTTGGTAAAGATGACACAGCGTCAAAGTAATGAGGAGTGAATGTGGCCAACTCATACTTTCCCACGGGATCAGCGAGCACCAGCAACAAAACTTAGAGGTGGGTGCTTCGGACTGGGTAAAGATTCAGGGGCTCACTGTACACCAGAGGTGCTCAAAAGAGTTGGGCTTGAAAGGAGCACAGTTTAGGAAAATCTCTAAATTACTTTCCTGTTTTTCCTTTTAGGTACACATGAAAAAGACATGATAACATAGTCTATGGTAACTTTAAAAAGAAAAACACAGGCAAGAAATGGCAGAGGCCTGGCAAAAGCATGCCAAGAGGTGCTAAGAAGTAGAGCATTCCCATTACTTGAAATGAGAACTTGTGGGACTTGCTAATGGACACTTAGCGGGGAAGCACAACACTGCCCAGGCCGTCCCAGGCTTTTGACCCGAGCCATTGAAATGGAGTCATATTTACCAAGATGGGAACAGCCAGGTCAGCAGCCTTGGCCAGTGCCCAACCCAACTTGCTTTCTGTTTCTGTACACCTGCTAGTTAAGTAAGCTTTTACTGGATTTCAACAAGGTTTTTAAAACCAAAGAGAAAAAGTATGTGATACTGTATGTGGTACTCAAAGCCTAAACTATTTACTATCCTTTTGCAAAGTGTGGCAACTCCTAAGCCATAGGAGACAGGTTTGGGAGGGAAGACAAGGAGCTAGAAATGAACACACAGTTTAAGGGGCCAGTCAGATATCCATGTACAGATGTTGGGCAGGCAGCTCCAGCTGCAAGGCCAGGGCCTGGGGAGAGGCTACCATGAGCTCAAAGTTTTTGAGCACAAAGCCCAAATCACCACGTAGGCTGGAGGCCACAGCACCCTTGCCAGTCCCTGTGAGGGCCATCCCACCCCAGCTATCATGCCCCAGGGGACAATGCAGACTTTCCTGGCTCTGGGGACAGCTGTTCTTCACAAGAAGACTTCAGGAAATGTGTCATCACATCAAGAAACTCAGTTCTTGCTGAATGGTCCAGGCAACAGACAGATCAGTGAGGCTGACTGTGGAGGTATGGAATTCAAAACTATGTGATTTTATTGCTTTCATCATTCATATCTGACCACTTCATAACTGTCATTGTGTTTTTTATTTTGATTATGAAATTTTTATTTAGAGAACACTAAGTTTTAACAATTATAACCCTGATACCTTTTCAGTCTTCAGCAAGCCCCTGGCGAGTAATACTGAGGACTCCTGGCCAAGTGTTCAGCCTTTCCACCAAGTCCGTCAAACTCAGATAAATTCTTGGCCATGAGCCAACAGCACACACAAATAAGGCCAATTCCAAGAATATTCATACCTGGCTATATCATCCCTTACATACTGAAATTAAAATGTCTATTGAAATAACTTGGGTCTTCACAGTGAGCTCCAATTTTTGTACATAACTATGCTAAAATAACAATAAATTTGAAATAAAGTTTAACAACTTTGCTACATGAAGTATTCACAAGTCTCTCACACAACGGGGGTTTCTAAGTAAAATGAACATTGTTTAAGGGGTTTCACAGTTTAGCTGCCTGTCTTCCAAGAACAAATCTCCCTTCCCTCCATGTAGCCCAGGCCAGGGACCTGTCTTAGCACTCTGCCTCTGACTTACACCCTGTTCCCAGAGCTCCTGAGCTCCTTCTGATTCTGGCACTTATCTCTAGCAGGGTCCACCCACCCTCTGTCCTCCCTTCTAGATCATAACCTCCCCAAAGATGGAGACTGGCCCTTCTTGTCTGGTTCCCTATGCCCTCCCTTCACAGCCGGTACACACAAGAACTCAATCAAGGTTCTCAAGGAATGAAGAGAAGTACACTTAAGCATACTTTATTGAGTTTAAATCTGCCCACTTATCGTCTGTATTTTAGGCAGAGCCCCACTTTGGATGGAACACAGGAACCCTGCGGCAGCCTGGATGACAAAGAGCATCCACTTGAAAACTCAGGCTGGTGTGATCAAGGATGTCAGGGATGGAGGGCTGAAGAGGATGGACACTTCCAGAACCCACATCAAGGCCTCCTGAGATGGCCCCACTCCCTGAAGCAGCCTCCCTGCCATGCCTCCCCACCACACAGCACACACCCAGAGAGTGCACAGCGCCCCTCCAAGTCAGGCCCACTCTGCACTGGGCTCTTGATATGCTGCTTTCCAGGGAAGACCAGCCTCGGGCTGCATATTTACAGGCTGACCTGGGGCCACTTACTCACCATCAGCCGTGTGAAGGAGCTTGTGACTCTTCAACGTCCCTTTTGATTTGAATTTCTTGCCACACATGTCACACAGGTGAGTCTTCTCAGTGCTGTGACGATTCATATGAGCCTTGAGGTTACTCTTGCTGCGAGTCGCATACTCACACAAAGAACATTTGAAGGGCTTCACCCCTACCAGGGGAAACAAATGTACATACAAGTGTGCATACAGCTGCGACCTCAAAGGAACAGATCATACCTGTGAAAACAGCGCACATCCCTGCCTCCCCGACAGGCTCTTCCTATGTGGCTGTTTCCCACAGGGACACTCTTTCCTGGAGGGTCAGCCAAGCACCTCCACTCCACAGCCTTTCTGACCCTCCCAAGTAGATTTCTCTACTTCCAGGTCAATGTTCTTAAGTGCTTCAACTCTCCTGTGAGAGTGTTCACAGCATGTTACAGGGAGCTGGTCACACCTGCCTCTCCCAACATCTGGGAACTTCCTGAGGACAGAGATCCTGAGCAAATGATGGAACAGATAATCACTAAATTCGATTGAACTAAGTTAAAATGAATAAAATTAAAGGCTTCAAGGGCCTTTGCAAAAATCCATGGTTTTGGGTCTTCAGGATCAAATGTGAAAGCATATGTTGCTTCATAAACTAACAGAGCTTTGCAACACTGGTTGTTGTTGTTGGGCCAAAGATTCAGACTTAGGGGTTTCTTGGCATTGAACTTCGTTCTTCCCAAGCACGTATACAAGGCCTGCTTTTGTACTAAGCACCAAGGGCTAATCCTGAAACTGAGACTTAGTGCCTGTCCAACTGTCCAGTGGGAGGTGCAGACAAGCACACAGGTTGTGACAGCCAAGGGTGATGCACAGTAGGGGCGGGCAGCAGAGGGTCCCAGAGCCAGGTGTGTGATGGAGAGTGATCAGTGAGCCAGGCGTTTTCTTCCACTGTCTCTACTGCCTATGACTGCTGAGGGAACCGAAGCTTTACGATGCTGAGACAAGAAGCTGAGAGGCACATGAGGGCCGACAGTGCACCATGGTCCATGGCAAAGCCCAGAGCTGGAGAGTGAGGTGATAATCTAACCATGGAGCACCAGTAAGCCACATAACCTGGAACTACAGTTTGGATCATGGTCCCCACATCTGTAAAGTGATGGGTCCAGAAGTAACCTCCCAGGGAACCTCTGCATCCTGCCTGTGCTCTGGGCACATGCTTTTAAGAGCAGGGCTATTGGTATGTGCCAGCATGGGTACAGCACCAGCTCTGAATCACACGCAGCCTGCCCAGGCATCCTAACAGCAGGTCAAGCTACCGAGAACTCAGGCATACACCTCCATGGAGGAGAAGCCCACACAGACCACGAAGAGGCGTGCGATGTAGCTCAGTGGTGACAGTTCCTGTGAGAACAGTTGAACTATCATCACTGAGGTACTACTGGACCTGGTGCTTTTTTAGAAATCATTATTCAGATACTACTGGACCGAGTGCTTATCTTCACTCAAGAATGAAGATAAGTGTGTGCTCATAACCCGGGAGAAGCCAAAATCCTAACTTCTGTTCCCTGTCATGAATGGAAAGAAAAGAAACAATACAGCAACTTGGGGAACAGTGACACATTTTAAGGCATGTCACTGCCTTCCCAACAGCCAGCTGTGCACAACAGCTCTGTCCCTCTGCACTCTCCTACTGCACAGCCTGCAAAGGAGACGGCAGATGAGTCAGCTGTGCAGGGCTCCAGCTCATCTACAGCACGGCCTTCGCCCCACAGCGAGGCACAGAGACAGCTGTGCTGGATCCACACCATGTCCATTACTTGGCTGCTGTGGAACCCTGAATGAAGTTACAGGCCATCTGAGCAACAAATGTCACATATATGAAAAATGTTCTATATATACAGCTAAGCACTATGACTATAACCATCACCATGTTTTACATCCCTTTTTACCTTTTCTTGGTATTTTGTATGGTTTTCTGTTCTATTAACTTGATTTTTCTGTCTTTTTGAGACAGGGTCTCTTGGCCTTTAGCTCACTCTATACTTCAGGCTGGTCTCAAACTCACAATGATCCTCCTGCCTCAGCCTCCCAAATGCTGGGATTACAGGTGTGCGCCACCATGCCCAGCTTTGATCTTTCAATATTTTCTGCTTTCCTTTTCTCATGCTGTATATTAAAAATAAACAGACAGAAGGAACAGTTATGGTACAGTCATCAACTCAAAAAAAACTAAATACTGTAGTGTGTGCAGATATGCTTTTTTTTTCCTTTTGTTATTCCATCATAACAGGAAAAACAAAATTAGGCTAACTAAATACTATTATGCCAGACTACTCTAACAAAAAGTAGACGTCTTTGGCTTTCTGAATCCTCTCATAACTCTAAAGTTGTTCAGAAAATAGATTTCTTTCCAATTGTAAATACACAACATTAATGCCCTATCAGATTTAAATACAAAAGCACTGGTTGTATATTAATATGTTGGAAACCATCTACAGAGGGTTTTATATATCTGTAAATGATCTCCCTGCTCCTACAACAAATTCCAAAGTAGTTTACAGCTTCATTAGATAGATAAGTAAGCCAATGTTCAGAAAGATGAGGTGTTTGTCCATTCCACAGCTCCTAAGTGGTGAGGGAAGACTGGAACTGCATGCACAGGTACACGTAATTACAGTCAGATGCCTTGCTGAGACCAGCCTCCCTTTGCTTCATCAGGGTCAGTTCCCTGCAGATTCCTGAATGCCATTCCAAACCTTCCCTCCAGACAGGTGCTTCTGCCTCTTTTTTGCTGAGAACACTGGCTAAGGCCATGACTGCCCTCGAGTCCATGAGGAAGAAGCAGCACATACAACCTGCCACCCTCATGCCTGCCCCAGTGCAGGAGGTGGATCCTTCCTCTGATGCACATCAGTGGAGAAGTGGAAAGCATGGGCTTGGGAATCAGATGTCATAATACAACCCTAGCCCACCTCTTGTCAGCTATATGACACAAGCAAATTACTTAACTGTCTGATCCTCATCTCCCTCACGGTTATAAGATGGATGCCTCTAAGGTTACTGAGAGTACTAAATCAGATTGAGTGAGAATGCACCCAGCACCTGGCTGGGAGCCAGCAGGTGTTCAGTAAGTGTTAGTAAACAAAAATAATCTTCTTGCCTTGGGTCTCAATCCCTCTGCCTTCTCCAGGTTCCTACTCCTTTAGGCACAGTTCTCTGTACTCAATTATTAACCACCTCCTTCCTAACAGACCCTGACCAGGACCCTGTAACAAGTCCCATAATGGAGAAAATACTTTATCCTCCATCCCTCTCCTGTCTTGTCTTCCTGCCTATAGCACTCCTGCTTCCTACCCAGCAAGAAGAGCCCAATTGCAAAAGTCTGGAAGAACTTTTGCTGGGCCCCTTCTCCTTCCTCTTTCCCAGGAGCGCTATATCTATGACCACGGAGGAGAAAAACAAAGGTGGTAGGCTGCCTGTGGTGGACTGACAACTGGTGGTCAACTTGGAACATCAACTGAACCAGCGTGGTGCTGGGTGTGCAAGGCCCACCTGAGGATTGCTGCCAGCAGCATAAGAGGCAGAACTGGAGAGGAGGCTGTGAAAAGCTGTTGGGAGGCTGTAGGGAGCTATAGGGAGCTGCTGGTTCTCCTGGAGGAGCTTGTCATGCTGACTTTCGTGATGAACTCAGCTGCTCTCATCATTGAAGGAAGCTGAGAATAGCTGTAGTTCACTTTGGGGGAATTGTGATCCTCACTTTGAGCATCACATCCTGGCACCAGAGGGAAAGATGATGCACTGCTCAGCCCCTAGGAGAAGGTTCTCACCTTGGCTTTCCTGATGGGAACTTGGCTGTTCTTATCATCGGAGGAGCTTGGGACCTCACTGTCACTGACAATGGCTATGGTATTTTGGGCCCTGCTTCCTGGCCCCAGTGCAGATCCCTCAGCCTGCTGGCACAGATCCTTCACCCTGCTGGCACAGACCCTTTACCCCACTGGCACAGACTTTCTAGCTTCCACCACTGACCTCTGGGGCTTCCCAGTGCAGATCTGCGAAGCAGGCCTGCACGAGACATTGTCGCGGGCTCTTGGCCTCCTATTGGACTCAAGGAGGGCACTGTTATGGGCTCTAGGTCTTCAGCTGGACTCATGCAGGATATTGCTGTGACATCCAGGCCCTCAGTTGGAGTCTTTGGTTTTTAGTGTGTGGACAGATTTCCTGCACTTTTTTTTTTTTTTTTTTTGGTCTTTTTGAGACAGGGTCTCACTATGTAGTTCAAGCTGGTCTTGAGCTCACTTTGTAGTCCAGGTTGGTCTCGAACTCACAACGATCCTCCTGCCTCAGCCTCCAGAGTGCTGGGATTATAGGCATGCACCACCAAGCCTGCACTCTTTTTGTATATTACTCTTTGGGTGACTATCATAAAATAATCTTATAAATGATGTGTCCTGTACTGTACTGCTCCCTTTGCAAAACTCAAAACTACAACACCGCCTCTATGGGAATTATGACTTAAACTTTTCAAAGTCCCAGCACATGGCTCTCCCACACTGCCTCCACAACAAGTGCCCCAGAGCACAGTCTATATCCTTACTTGCCTCCAATTTGTCTCCATACAACTCTTCCCCCTTCTGAATACATTCTCCATGATGTGAACACAACACTCCATAGCGCCCTCTTCACCTTCCTTCCTTCATGATACTAGCAATTCTTCAATGGTTCCAAGTGCACTACACAGCATGAGCACTGGAGCTGCTGCTGTGCATAAGACATAGGTGCATAAGACATAGGCGCACCTGCTTCTCAGCAAGGGATACATGGTGATTATCTCACAACTGCAATGGGAACTAGGAGGAAATACATACATATACCCAGTGCAAAAGCAACGGAATGAGTAATGGTTTAAATCTCAGACCTTTAGGAACTGATGGATAGACATACCTCTGTGTGATAAAAAATCCTAACTGCAGGGGATGTGAAGATACGGCTTCCTCCGAATGGTCGTCCAAAATAGTGTGGAGCATAAAATTAAAAGGGTTCCCTGTGCATGCAGACCAGTACTCACCCTCATGAGCCCAGATATGACGCTGAAGGTCTGAGCCATTCTTCATGAAATAGAAATCACAGTATGGGCACTTCATGGCTCTCTTTCCAATTAGCCCTTTCAGCTGCACCCGCCTCCCAAGAACCTCAGAAATGGTGCTCATGGAGACCTCTGGAAGAAAGCAGGATGACAATCAGAGGAGGCAAAGGACTCTGGCTCAAGTTAGATATAAAGAAATCTTCTGATGACATCTGCATCACTCAGGGGACAAATCAGCATATGCCTTGTGGTATCATGAGAACTTTTTGCCTAAAAAGTTAAGTAGAATCTCACCAAGCTTCAAATCTAAATACCTGTTAATATAAAACATGAGGAAAAAAAAAATAACATGAAACAAGAATCAGACAAGTATGGAATATGACAATGTCTATAGGAAAAATGACTCAGTTTCTCCCAGAAATGAGTGACATGGATCAAAGGTGAGGATAAGTGACATAATTACCAAACAAAATTCCTGCATCTTGATTCAAACAAATCAACTGCAATTACGTGTGTGTGTGTGTGTGTGTGTTAGGTCGGCTGGAAAATTTTTAAGTGAACAAATACTGGTAATAAGCATTCCCTGTTAATTTTGTTTTTGTTTTGCTTTTTGGTGACACAGCAGTTATTTTGAGAAAAACCTTTATGAGTCAGAGAAGATTTGTAAGGTTTTATGGCTGAACTGCATGATATCTGGGACATATCTATTCTAGAAGAAAAAGGGTTTGTGGAGTAGATACACGAAAAAAGTTTTCAAAATGTAGATCATTGTGTAAAGTGAGTTCTCAAACTCACTTCATGGGTTCCAATTTTAGTAGTATATATTAATCTTACAAAATACTGCATCTCAGGGTGGCATTTTCATACACGCACATACTTTGATCTTATCTGTCTCCGCTAGTGCCCTCCTTTAAGCCCCCCAATCACTTTTCTCTTCTCTAATTCCTTTCTCTTGTACTTTCACATCATCATTTCTTCCCCTTCATATTATTTTATGTACTTGTGCACATTTGATATTTTTCCATTATAAAAAGTTTAAAACAGAGCCAAAAGAGCACTTTAGACTTCTTCATGAGCAAAGGCCAGTGGTTTTAATGCCTATCTTGGGCTCATATTGGACCACTGCTCACTTATGACACAGGCTAACATGGGAAGGACAGAACTGGGTCTGCAGAGCATCTCAGAGCCGAAGCCCTGCCACACCAATGAAGGTTCAAGGCACTGCCTTCTCCCAGAGAAAGCAGGAGTGTCAGTGCCCATTTGTTATTGCTTAACTTTCCTCCATTTCTCATCATTTACAATCAGTGAGTCTGCTCCCTCCTACCAAGGGGAGACACACATTTTTTTGTAGAAGAAAAGAGAGCAGGGTGCCGAGAGGGACACTTAGCTAATCTGTTGCTCATTTACACAACACAAGAGCACCCATGAACACCATCTTGGTGGCCTAATGAGGCACTGGGGGTTGGGGGTTAAGCCCTGTCAGAATGATCCCACGGAGGAGATGGGGAGAGTGACAATGGCTGGAGTATAAGGTGTCAGCATGCTACAATGTTGGGGGCAGGGCAGCCAGAAAAGCAGGCCCAAGAGAGACCTTAAAAATGAACAGGACTTAAGAGCAGAAGTCACAGGACATGGGTGCCTAGAAAGCTGGTATATCTCACCTAGGCAGTGCGGGAATTTAGGACCACAGTGACGGTCACTTCTACCCAAGGAGGCGCCTCAGGCTGAGTGGGCACCAACACTACTTATAAACCACTGCTTTGCATAAAACAAATTCAAGACAAGGGCCAGGAACAAGGCAAGGATCTTGGCTAGAATGCGGCATAGGCAATCCATCAAAGGGCATTTAACTTCATGATAAAAGGGGGAGAGGGTCACTGAGACTGCAGGGAGTAGAAGGTGTAACTGAAGACCAGGTAACAGCATAAAGTGAAATAAATAATCATATAAATCCCCAAGCTTTAAATCAGATGACTGCTTCCCTTGAATTTATTTATGTATTCATTCTTCTTCATTTCCATATAATATAGCTGATATTTAATGTTTTAAAACAAACAGACATTTAAAAATTGATCTTCCGAAACTGATCACTCCAAAATCTATATACTTACCAGGATGGTTTGTCTTGATATGTGACTTTATCAATCGATCTTCTGAAAAAGACTTTTCACACACAGGACAAGAATAGCTCCTTTTGTCCTTAATAAAAAGAGAACATAATCAACTGATAGTCTTGTTTAAATCTATGTTATATAGAAAAATAACTACTACTATCATCATCACCACCACCATCATCACCATCACCACCATCCCATCATATCACATCACATCACCACTACCATCACCATCAACAACAATAGCATTATCATCACCTTCACCACCTACAGCACTGCCACCACCAACACCACCACCATGGCTGCCACTGCCGCTGCCACCAGCATCACCATCACCACCATCAGCATTATCACCACCAACTTGACCACTACCACCACTATCATTAGCAGTAGCCTCATCAAAACTAGACACATGGCATATCCATCCAAGGGGGTTAGATGAATATACACCCTCCACCTGGCCTGGCACAGCCTGGGGAGCTCCTCAATAGTGCAATGGCATCAGCTCCAGTTTAGAATTGAGGGATGGGGCTTCGAAGAGTAGAAGGGAGGGGGCAAAGGGTAGCATTCAACATCAAAGCCGTGATTCTTCCACACAACCCAGGGCTGCTCCATGGCTCCACGGTATAATATGTCCTCATGCTTTACATGGGTTTTCATACATGTTGTTATACTGAGATTCACAATTACTCACAAAAGAAAAGGGGCTTTTCATGCTATAGATTAAGAAACCAAGGCCCTGGGTGATAAGGCCAAAGTCTGAGAGGAAGGGACAGTGTTGGAATGGAAGTCCCCAGATGTCCACCTAGGACTCCTCCTGCCACTCTAAAACCATGTGTCCACGCAAGGCTGCGGGGAGGAAGTTCATTCTGCACTTGCTGCTAGCTTGATCAACTTCATCCCTACGGTATTACACTCTCAGCTGGCCGGCAGCTCTCAAGAATGACTCATTTAAGGCTTTTGCTCATCTATTTCTCTCTTAGAGCTCACCTCAGAGCTATCTCACATTAGTTTTTCCTAGAAAATGGGGTTATGGATTGAATCCCACATCCCAAATTTTATATACTGGAATCCTAATCTCCAGTTCACAATGTCACCTTCTTGGTAAAGATCCTCATCTTTACAGATGTGACCCAGGTAAAGTGAACGAACTAGGGCCCTAATCCAGTATGACATGACTGATGTCCTCATGAAAGGGGACATTTGTACCCAGACATGCACAAGGTGAAAATGAAGGCAGAAACCAGGTGATGCATCTACAAGACAAGGAGGGCCCATGACTGACAGCAAATCACCAACAGCCTGGAGAGGAGCCTAGAGAAGATTCTCCCTCACACCCCTCAGGAGCCCCTCAGGAACCCCAAGGAAGAAATCTGTCCAATACTCTGATCATAGACTTGAGTTTCCACAATGGAGCTGATGTCTGTTGTGTTAGACATCCCTAGTATAGTACACTTCTTACACTTCCCAAGCTCACATCTAGCATGGCCCCTGCTCATGTGAACTTAAGGAGAACTAACTCCACATGAGAGCTTGGCACTGCAGCAAGAGCTCCCCATGCCCTGAGCAGATGACTGATTGCAGGCCTCAAAACCTGCTCTGTACCTCCAAATAATAGTAGCATAGCAGCTACATTCACTTCTTAAGAACTTACTGGATGCAGGTGCTATATACACTTTGTGGGGCATTCAGGGACTTGCCTGATGTCATACCACCATAGGGAACCATGAAGGAGGTCCAAACCAGGCCTCTGACCTCTAGAGAAGTTGCTCTTATGAGACTGGGACTAGCCGTAAAGACTGAGGAATCAGACCTGGGCTTAATCCTGGTTCCACCGTCAGTTTGCTGGGGAACTCTGGAAAAGTGATTTAACCTAAGTGCCCCATTTTCATCATCTGCAGAATGGCAATACAAGCAGCACCTCCTTCGTAAGTTTGCAAGGGAAATAAAGGAGATGATGAGCACACAGAGTGCTCAGAACAGAATCTAGCCAGTAGCCTGTAGTGAGTGCTCAATAAATCTCAAGGACTTTGCTGCAGTGACTTTAGTGCTTTGATAACGCAACTCAGCCTGATATGCTGTCCTTCGTGTGGGTAATGCACCCCAGAAACTTTGGAGTGGGATTTGGAATGAGCATCCCCAAACTCCTCTGTGGATCCATTCTCCTTGCTATGGCAGAACACTTTCTGAGGCCAGGGTTCCCCAGAGCACACACTGGAAAAGGGTATTTCATCTTCAAAAAAGGAAAGGTCCTCTGAACAACTAACTAGTCTGAACACATCTCCCACCATACACCTGGGGCCAAGCAATGCCTGCCAAGGCCAGATGTCCAACAGGTCCAAGCAGCTCTCCAGAAACTGCCCCAAGCTCTCAGTGCCACAGACCTCCACCAAGGTTGCACCACAGCCTTGGGACTCCTTGATGTGTTCTGTGATTGTCCTCCATTGCCTTGACCTTGTGCTCAAAGTGCCATTTTGGGAAACATGCCCTGGGCCCTGCTGGCATCCTAGAAAATGTCCTCATAACCCCCACAGTCCCCAGTGTCCTTGTCATGAGAGCTAATGGAGGCATTCAGGAGAGCTTTGAAGGAGTTTCCACTGATCTCCCCTCAGCCCTTGCAATTTGATTTTTCTTCTTTTAATCCCTGATAGTCTGAAAGCAATGTATCTCAGCGTTTATCAGGGTCCCTATTTCTTGATGCCTTTGAAGATGGTCAGAAGGACACAGGCAGTGGTAAAGGCTGCTGGGAGAAGCGTAGACTCTCAGGAGTCATTTACTTCTTTTTCAAACCTCAGTGCCTTGCCAGAGATAAAACTCAAACACACAAGGCAAATTTTAAAAGAGATATAGTTAAAAGAGCTCCTGGCAGAGGCAGGGGCACTGAGAAACCCAGCTGGAAGGATGGGAAACAGCCCAGCCCTGGGAGTTTGTTTGCTTGCCTAGAAACACCTTCCAAGCAATCAGAATCTTCTAAAATAACAAGGGAGCGTACATGAGGCCACAGGCATGGCACGGGGTGCAGGACCAGGCCAGAGTCTCAAAGCCCAGCCCATCCCTCTGGACAACCTCACTTGCTCTGTGTTCAGAGCCAGGCGCTTTGGCCCCTACAGGAATGAACTAGACAGTTCACAAGTCCAAAACCAGTGCTGTTTGGAGAATATCAAATCGAATCCTCCCACAGAGTATATGTAACTGATGCATAAGTAAGTACCTCTGAGACAGGGACTTAAAAGCTGCTTTTGCTAAAAAGCACCGACTCTTCACTTGGGCCTGCAGGTACCCAACAGTAACTGAAAGCAAGATAAAGCTTGGCATCCCTGCCTTCATGTTTGTATCTGTCTCCTTTACTACCTTAAACTTTGGGTCACATCTCTGCTAAGCTCTTCCTATGGACATGCTGATCATTCAAGGGGCACCTGTCTAAAATCAGAAATACATTATTTATTTGGCCTAAATCTAACTAACCCCTATCATTTCCCTTCCAAATGAATGATACCAAGATAAGAGAACCTAAGGTATTTTCAAGATTTACAGGAATATTCAACTGCCAGCTTTCACTATGTCCTATTCCAGACACCTTGGAGTGGTATCTAGAAGTCTCTGGTTACAACTCAAAACCTAGTCACCCTGGATTACAGGAGGCCTCTGCAGACAAATCATCCATGATGAAATCATCTCTCTAAACAGCAGCAAGTGTCCTATGAGGGAAACTGAGGCTATCCCCCCTAAATAGGAGCAATCAGATCATGTGAACCAGACCCTCAAACAGTAAGGACATCTTGGGAGTCCCTGATAGAACCAGAACTGAGACAACAATCAACCAGACCCTAGCTTAGTCCAGAAATCCAAGAAGAACTTGACTGTTTCCTTTGTTAACAGGCCCACCTCATCTCCACTGGTGCTACAATCTCTTTGGCTCGTTTTCTCCTCAATCTGAGGTCCACTTCCTTTCTCAACTATAGCTTTTGCCTGTGAGTTCATGCTCTTTCCTCTGTTTTCATTTCTACTGTCATTGAGACAGTTCTCTCGCCTCCAGTATCAAACAAGTTGGGGGATTCTACTCTGAATAATTTCTCAGGAATAAAGGCCATGGTTGTAGTATCTGCTCTCCTCTATGGCTTCACTCACTCATTTTGTCCCAGGGCGCCCATTATAGGCCAGGTGCTGGCTCTGAGAATAAAGGTGTGAGAATCTCAAGGGCCCATGAGCTCATCAAGAAATAGACATGTCCCATGCAGAGCCCAACAGCCAGCACATTTTGATGCAGAAAAAGTAGCAACACGCAGGAAAGGTGACACCTAAGGCGTGAGCGATTAGCTTAAGTGGGAAAACAGCTGGAATGTTTTCTAAGATTTAAGATCTCAACAGTCAGGTTTCCCTTTTCATTGAAGACAGTTCTGTTTTGCCATGTCATGGCCTTTCAATGCCGAGTGTGGGTCCTTGCCAAAATGAAGATATTCTATTCCCAAGAAGCTCTGGGAAACTGAGACCTCCTGCATAGTGGGTAAATGCCCAAGCCATAATGCAGAAACAAACTCATTTTGGGACCAAGTCAAAAGACCGTATTCTGGTAGCTCTTGGAAAGGAATAATATGTCCCATCACTTTATTTAAATGACATTCTTCTTTACTAAAAAAAAAAAAAAAATCAATACTGACCAGGTATATTCATTTATTTCCAGAAAGATATTGAAGGCAACTTTTTCTACTTTCTCTGTGCTTTTTGCCCATATGTTATTTTAGCTGATTTCCAGCAGGTATATGGTGACCAGTGGCTTACAGGTTTATCGGAGGGGGCGCCCCCAAGGAAGGAGGTCAGTTGCCCACCTGACAGCGCCTTCCAGCACATACTGCAGACATGATGACAAATGAACACTCAACACGGAAACAAAGGCCTCAAAAGCAATGCCTCCGCTGGGTGTGAGTGAACTCTGCTGAGGAGTTCTGCTTTCTGTCCTATTTCATTTTGAAGACAGCTAATTATGAAGCACTAAACTGGTTTCACAACCTTCTAAGGTATATGACCAATGGATCTTTTCTTTAAGAGAATACCAACCTAGGTGTCCTATACCTGTTTCTTAATTTC